TGTTCATTAGTACCCATTCTCGAAATCCTTCTTCAAGTAGAGGCTAAGTCTTCTTCGAGGGCTGGGCTCGCCACCAGTGGACTACTACCGTATGCCTTGCAAATTGTCCAGTGCCTAAAAGGTTCTGTCAAGAAAGCCCACCTTTAGACGTGCTCGCAGAGGCGTCAAGAATCGATGTTAGGTTCTCGACCGATTCCACAACAGTCAAATTAACAGTCGTGCAATAGTACTCCTTTTCACCAACGTTTCTCATACAACAGTCATAGTTCCCAGAATCATCTGGCTGGAGCGATGAGAACCTCAACAGATTTTTCGTGCCTTTTTGAATCGATAAGTTCAGAGTAAAACCCACTGGATAGATCCGTTGCTTCCGGTGAACACGATATTCGCCGTATTGAAATCGATTGTACGGTTTTTTCTCCAGACTTTCTCCATGGCCGAAAACCCCGGCAATTCCATAATCCACTCATCGGCGCAATTGATTTGCAGCGGGACGTCGGTCGAACTGTAGCTGGCTGGAGACACTTATATTCAGTTTCGTTGATAAAACTGATGGACTTGCGTCGTTATCCATCTTCCGTAGTGAGTAATACACCAACATACTGCCGAGAATAGCGCAAAATGTCCTTGCGTCAGCCCTGGATAATGTTGGCGGTGGTCTCATTCAGGCACAGGCTCGTAAGAGGCAGAAACAACACGAGCCATCACTGTTTTATAGTAATTTATCCCATGGATTTCTTTTTCTTATAAAGTCGTTTGTACATCCCGACATTTGGACAGCCGTCGGTAACGCCGTAATGGCCGAAGTGAAGAAATGAAGAGTAATCCTTGGGTTTGACAATGTACAACAGCAGTTTCAATCTCACGTTTTCAATCAACCGCGTTTGGCGGAGGTGGAGGAGGGCTAACGTCTTCAATATCAGCTGAAGGTTTTACACGCTTTGGAGTTTTTTTAGTATGATTCATAGGATAGCGCCCTCGGCCGGTCAGCGGAATACGGAGGATCGAGTCTTGCCTAAGGTCTGGCTTTTTGTCCATAACTCGACATTCTTGTGATAACTTTCAGCGCCCAAACTGCGGCTTTGAACAGCCTTTATCGTAATACAACAACTTCAAATCACATGAGAGGCAAGAATATTACTCCAAACATCTGCACGTTTCCACGTAAACGAAGTATACGGCGCATTTCAAAAAGGGAACTTTGAGCTTCAAGTGTTGGTCCAGTTATTCGATACAATGAAACATCTTACCGTATTCGATAGGAGGTAGTGACACGTTTTTCAAGACTGTTCCATGAGTGGAAGCACATAAGGATGCAAGTAGGAATACAGTATGCATCTCAAACAATCAAGGCTGAAAAAATCCAGATAATTCAAAAGATAAGTTTTTCAGTTCATATTTCATTGTTTGACATTCAGACATTACAGGGGGGGAGACAAAAAAAAACACTTAGGTTGAGTCACATCAGCAAAGTTTTCGAGTACCAGGGCGGAAGATACCCAAGATGTTCCTCGATAAGCAGGAGCAGGCTCTCGCCCATCACCTTCATGTACACCAAAATATGAAGTCATCTCCAATCGCAGCCTGACTGGAGAAGGCCTTTGGAATTCACGTCACCTCCAAACAGCTGCGAAACTTCTTGTATGGAGTCACCCATGGATAGCTACCTGGAGACCAGTACTCTCGATCTGGAAGACCTCCAACATCGAGCAGCTCCGACAACGTCGCCACGGTCTAGGATATCGTCTTCACCGCAGTCGCCAAGGCGAGGGTTG